GTAAACGGTGACGTCATGACGCAGCAGCGGCAGCACCAGTCGGGTGCTGGGCGGTGTGAACAGAGCGGGAGCAGAAAAGGGAAACCGGAGCTGAACCAGAAAAGCTCTAGCTCGGAGCTAGAAAGGGAAAAGCACTGGTGTGAAAGCCGCAATTGTAACCAAGTATTTTTTACACTGTATTGTTACTTTTACTTATTGCTACTTTTAATATCCTTTAAAAAGAAAATCCCCTTGTCTAGCTTTAATATTAACCACACTTTCGACACAGAGTTCCAGCCTCAGAAGGCTATGTATCATATCAAAACTGCAAATAAATTGTCACATAAAATAAATTAAGCTCTTGCTTGAAGGACCACTTTTCTGGCTGTCATTCATAAGGACCTACAATTCCCCACATAAACATCTGCTTTACACAATAAACATTCTCTCAGTTATGGAATGATACAGATGTGGCTGCATTACATTTTGAGGTCTATCAAAGTTATTTTGACATAGGTCATAAAATAAATCCATGAAAATAGGCAGTTTTGGTCATTCAGAATTTGAACAATGAATTCACACAGAATGTGAAAATAACGAAAGCAGTGCCATCTCCTGGTTATGATGTTCTGCTTCCAGGATAATCTGATTCACAGCTAAATTATATCACACCCTTTTTTGTTTTGTTTGTTCAGTAGATGTGCCTGATAAACTCATCCAAAAATGACAGTGGCTATCTTAGAAACATTCTTACACTAACATTTACAAATGTTGCAGTATATTCATGTCTCAATAAATGTATATGTTCCTTTAGCTGAATTTTGAGGGTAAGCCACTGTGAGGTCAAAATATGATGTACTGCTTTACCAGCTTGAACCAGTATTGCTACAATAGACTAACTACATTGTACGTTGCAATTAAGATATACTCAATACAAAAAATGTGTTTGCACAGAACTAATAATACGTTTAAGTTCACGATTTGTGAAGTAGCACAGGAAAGGGATCACGGGCCATAATACCGCAACATGAAGAAGTGTCAGTTTAACCCGTAAAAATAGAATAGGGTTTACTAAGGCAATAGTCTATATCACACATGTCAAACTCAAGGCCCGGGGGCCAAATCTGGCCCGTGGTAGATTTAATTTTGGCCTGCAGGATAATTTCTAATTACTACTAGATCTGGCCCGCCGGTATATTGCACGCACACCTTCACTCAATCCTGAGGGTTTCCTCAGCTCAGAGCCTGACCCCAAACATTGATGAACTTGCACCCAAGATGAGATGCCAAGTATCTGGCTTAAACTAGCATCACAGAGCAGCAAACTGAGTTTAAATTGATGTTTCCGTTTGCACTTTTTTTCTTGCGACAACAGGGCATGTTTGGTTTTTTCTTTGAGGGAAATTGTTTTTTTGAAGCTGTGGGAAAATGTAATCATAAAAAATGACTCTGGAAAAGCTGCAGAGCTAAGAAATTAATGCAACTGATTTAATGTTTAATGTTGTTTTTATAGGCAATTTATTTATTAAGCTTTGTTAGTTCCAGGTTTAAGATGTCATTTCAATACGTTTTGCAATAAACATTGAACCCTCGACTAGTAGCCATACCCATTTTAAAATGTTGGCCCATGTGTATTTGAGTTTGACACCCCTGGTCTATATGTTGTATAGTACAAATAGTAAAGTTACATTCATTATGAATCTTATACTTTCTATATATTATTCTATTGTTTCAAAATTGTTTTGATTATTTTGGCAAAAATATTTCATACACAAATGTCGCTTTACACACTTTTAATTCCTGAATGACCACCTTTCTTCTCTTCCTATTTTCTTATTTCTGTTTCACAACACCCTCAGTTTCCAATTAGTGTAATGAACACTGATGTGTATGTGCCTTGTTATTATGTATTGGAAAAATTGTTCAACAAAGTGTTGAAGAAAAACAAATTACTTCCCGCCATTAATAGAAAACAGGAAATCAATCTGGTCCCACCCCTTCAACACCTGACGTCCAACAGGTGACAATTTACCAACGAGTTAACCGTTTCACCTGTAGGCCTACAATAGTCATGAATAGATAAGTAACACCTGGAAGTGCACGCAGTCTGCAGTTCCTTTGGTTTTTAGAGGATTCTGAAATTAGAAAACTTCTGTCACCGTTTCCAAACCAAGATAAATGGTGAATTTTACTTTTAGCTGGTGTCCTGTTTGTCTCGGAGTCGGGTTTTCCTGATATTTGCGGTTGCTTTTAGATCATAATGGAATTAAAAGCACAGATGTTATTATTAACACGATTATGGCTCTATTTTACTATTACTATCGGACATGGAAGTGTTAAAGTGGCTAGCTTAATGCTAATTAATTTGATTAATTTCTGGGACATGTGAAAACGTAAAATGTGAAAAAAAGGCCTATTGGTGACATTATAAGTCAATATTGTTAGTAGAATACTGCCACCTGCTGGCAGTGTTTATAACTAAACATGCACAATTTGTTATAATTACAATTTGTAATGCCATTTGTTGTTTGTTACAACAGTGATTTAAATATGTATTGGGTAGCCTTGTATATTGAAATCTCTGGTTGCTAATCGTGACATAGTATCATACCTAATATTATTTGTAAATATCACCAGTACAATTTATTTAATGTTTTACTGATCAAAACAGCCAATTGCTCCCCAAATATTTATTTGTGATGGAATAGCACAAAAGCTATTGTATTAGTGCTCTGCACACCAAATGGATGAACTTAAAAAACATATGCTTGAATTTCTCTTGTTAAAAAACACTTTGGCTCTTTTTTTAGAGACAAACGGTGTAAGTGATGGTGAACACATGCAAATATTATCCGAATAAGTGGGGTTCTCTGCTTTTATCTTTACATTGTTATATTTTAGGGTCATGTTATACCACTATACACAGTTATTAGGCATTTCCCCAGAGATCTTCATAGTTATGTCTTTGAGATCATAGCACACAGGTTTTGTATCATTCTCTTGTTTTGCCTTTGCAAATTTGGTTGGCAGTATTGCCTCTTGACATTTTACCTCGGAAGCTTATAAACAGAGCATCAGTTTATTTGCATTCCTTTTTGGCAATTATTTAGTGGCATAATGTGGTTTTCTTTGATTTACTTTAATTCATAATTTTTGAAGCAATTGTAACAGTAAGAAGGACACAAAGTACTGAGATCAAGATGCTTTATCTAGAGGTGGAGTGTAGAGGTTTAGGTTTTGGTTAGATTTTGTTCCCTTCCCTTCAATACTGTCATTTAACTCAAATGCATTGTAGAAGGTATCTGTACATATGCCTCAAGATGATGTGTACATTTTACAGGTTATTGAAGACAGCTAATTCCCCTCCTGAATGCATTGCCTGTTTTTGTGAAGAATAGAGATACCATAACCATAACCTCAGCTATATCAGTGTCGCTAAATATAATACGGAAATATTCATTAGACTAAATCACATTCTTTATGTGATAATAGTGATGTTTTTTGTATATCATTTATCCTTACCATATTTGATTTCAAACTGATATGGTCAAAAAGGAAATGTTACAAAAATGTCTTAATGCTCAACAGTCTGCTTCTCTATTGATAACTCTAAGGTGGGATATGATAAGATAAATCTCTCATTTGTCAAGTATTTAATTTACACAGACGTATTCAAAAATAGACTTACCGTGTGGTTATTTGAGATAGACTTTATGCAAGCAGGGAAAATGCTCTATCAGTATTGAGATGTGAAATCACGTAGCCTTAGCCTATATGGTGATTTTCTACATATCGCCCAGCGCTCCATTATATCACAATCAGTTCAACAAGTTCAACGCTGAGAGCTTTTCAGTACACTGGAGTTTGTAGCGAAGTAGCCTACCTCACTTTGTTGTGCTTTAACAATAGTTGAAGAAAGAAAATAATTCTCCTATGTGAGGTTGACTGTTACGTGTCCCTGGTTCACATGGATTCACGGAAGGGGTCATGTTAGGACCCAGAGGGGGTGAGGCCTGGCATAGGAGGAAGTGGGGTATGGCGCTGTTAGACAGTGAGACGCTGTCAGGCAGCCTGCTGGGAATAGTGCCCTGCTTCCCTGTTGAGGGGGCCTTGGCAATTAGACTGGCAGCAGCATGCTATGACTCCATCCCAGCAACAGTGTCACAGATTTGGGCTGGCTGCCAAAGGATCCCCAGCCAATCAGGGCACACGCAGTGCCAGATCACTCCAGAGGAAGCCAATAGTAAGCCTTAATGTGCTCGTGTCATCCCTCCCAGATGTGAATTCCTTCAAAACCCACAAGGTACACAAATGCAGACACAAACACGCAGCTCTAACTCAAAGACGTAGTGTGCACATTTACGTGACTGTGTGTGTGTATGGAAAGGAGAAGACATAAAAACAGTCTCTGTGTGTGTCTGCAAGTGAATGCACCACTGTATCATACCACTAAGTAAGTGCAGTTCAGACCTGTCAGCATCTTAAAAATACTACATAACTCTTGTTTACATAGAGGTGGCCAATCACCACTGCTGCATGTGAAGCCTTGTCTACCTCTAGTGGACAATCTGAGTAACACAGGAGTGTTTGCAATGTGACTAGTGTACTGTATTGTACTGATATGATTGTGTCATGTCATCATTTGTGATTATTTAGATCATAGAGGCAGGTAAGAACAAAGTGTGTTTTTCAAATGTTATTTTTTATTTTAAAAATGCAATCATGTGTCCACACCAAATACAGAATGAAACATATACAGACAAAAAATAATATAGTCTAAAACAGTTTTCTAACGATAGATATTTAAAAATGAAAATCCATGACACTTTAACATTGTATGCCACATGCCATTACAAATCCTCAAAAGTCCACATTTGGATCATAAAATGGTATCATCATTTAGTCTGAAAAGAGAAAGCAGAGGGAAGTTGTCAGGAGCTGGTGACTGTTTTGAATCAAAAATATAAAAAAAAGGGAATTTCAAGAACAGTTACTTTAAATTCCCCATCATACTACATGTTTTATCTTACCTTAAACATGGTAGCAAAGACACCATAGATGAAGGAGATGAGGAAACACGGAGAAAAGTGAAAGCCAAATACCAGCCTTCAACACCGGTTTTCTGGTTCACATCTGGCATGCAGGATGTCCTCTAGGAAAATAGGTTACAGTCCCTCCAGTTGTCTAGTGAATCATAAAATGAGATGTGGCATTTAAATGTTGTGGTGTGACACGACAAATACTACATTGATAGGACACACACCGAAAGAGAGAATGTTAAAATATATTATCTTGCAAATAGACGGTTTGACCTTTTTCATTTGCAACAAAGACATGGGAATCATAACAAACTCGCACCTGGTTTAATGCAATTCAGGGATATGCCTGGTGGTTTGAATGCGTCACCCTGCAGGTGATGTTGCCCCCAGGTAACCTGATGACTTGAGACAGACTAAGGTGCTTTGGATGCTGAACGGTCCCTGTGGGGCCTCGGTGGGGTTCACTAGTGTTGTAGTGCAAACAGTTGTCCCTGCTGTCATCGAGGAACCAAGTGATGTTTATGGAAGCTGGACTGTAGCCAAAGACCAAGCAAACAAGTTCACCAGAGCCCTGGAGAATGGTGGCCGAAGGTTTGCTGTATGTCACTGTGGCTGGAGAAAAGGATCATGACAGTTATTTTTGAATTAATTTGTATTTGGATTATAACAAAATCAAGAAACACCTGTATTTAGAGGGGATATACCATAGTTCCTACTAGAAAAGTGTTCTTCTGATAATCTCTGGCTACATGTTAGTGCTTATCTCTCTCTCCCCTCCGGTCAAACAAAGTCTGCTCTGATTGGAAGAAATGCTTATAGTCACTTCTTTAACCTTTTTGCTTACTCTGCAACATTATGAGCAAGCTACGGTGGACAAACGCGGTCTACGGTCAAAATAAATAATTTTGGAGTGTCGTATTTTAGCTTATACGATCAACAACATTCTGTCATTATGAAAATCCAGGCGTCCGGCCCCCCTTTGATCTTACACATCTCCATTATGATAAACAACTGCAATTTTACTAAAAGTTATACACAGCTCACCGAAAACATCCTTCATAGTGCTTTTAAAAGGTTTTTCAGATGACTCATGCGTAACAACACAAGAATACTCATTGTCGTCGTCAGTTTTTGAAAGTTTGCTGCTCATTGAATAAGTGCTGCTCCCGGAGTACTTCCATGTAGGACTGTTGGTGTAACGAGTAGAGGGGAGTCTCCGGTCATTCTCTTCCCAGTTCACTATGATGTTGGCCGGGAAAAATCCAGAAACTTCGCAAATTAGTGCGTTGACTTCTGATGTAGACAGTTCAGAGGTAGTCGGTTGTATTATCTTCACTGTTGGTTGGTACATGTCTTTATAAACGGAAAAAGAAGGCAAGAGGAAATAGAGAATTATATTATGACCATTTATCATCAAACAACTTGTAGGATTTTTTTATGGAGGGTTCTGATGCCTTCTCAAATTATGTTTAGAAACAGCTATAAGCAATCACAACAAATCATATGCTTTTTATGCATAACACTACCTCTGCTTTTGCTTATATGATCCACGTAGCCCTTGTTGGAACATCGGTGCGTTGCCTCACAAGACACATTTTTATATGCGCGCCAATCCTCCACCGACACAATCAGAGAGCTCCACAAAGTCTCTGTCCCATTGCTGTGACTCACTGGTGGCTCCTCAAGGGCACTCGGGGAATTACTGCCATCTACTTTCCAATTGACAGAGAAATCACTAAGAGACGGGCCGACCAGAAGACAGGTGATATGTACCCGTCTCTTGTTCATAAGCTCCTGGAGTGGTGGTCCCTGAACATACACACCAACTGTCATAGATGATGCTGGAGTTACTGTAAAAAGGGAACAAGACATTTAAAGGGGGAGCACATGCAACACCAATCAAGTAATGATTGTGGGATAAAGGATTCAAATTCAAAAACATGTTTAATGTACACTTACTGCAAGGGTATGATTACTGATTTTCATTTTACCTGAGCAGATGCTGATGTCCTTTCTCACAGTTTTTTCCAGAAACTTGTCAGAAACTTCACAAGTGAAGACCTTCCCTATGCTCCACTCTGATTGAGGGATCCGAAGTTGACTGGTTACCGCCACACGTCCATCTGCATCCATGCTGATTTTATTAGTTGATGGAGAGCTTTGCTGAGACTCAGGAGACCATTTGATTTGTGGGTCGAAGCCCGATCCAGAGCACGAGAGTATCTGGGGTCCTGATTCTTCACTGGGGGCCAGGAGAAGTTCCACTGATGGCTCCACTGAAAAATGAGATGTATCAATGCACCAATTAAACAATAAGTGAATATTTTAGGTTTAAAACATGGCAACTGTCATCAAGGAAGAAAGTATTACTTCTCTCACCAAAAATACTGCCAATGGAGTTTGATTCAAAGCTGTTGGAGAAGCCTTGGTTCACTTTGCAGGTGAACTTTGCATTTTCCTTCCAGTAACTTTGAGGGACAGAGAAACTTGTACTGATTGAATGGAGGCCTGGGGCTTGAGGAAGATCGACATAATGTTGGTCAGGAATGTCAACACTGTTGGTCTGAAAAGTGACGTACAGGTCATGGGATGAGATATTTGTGACGTCACACTTCAGCACAGCACTTTCTCCTTCCAGAAAATCCTTTAGAGATCTCCTGATGCCAACCAATGGAGCTGTAACTGCAGGCCCTGGATGATATAGAAGAAAATAAAGCAGATTCTATTGTTTTATGTATTAGTTGTCAAAGACATCTATTTTCATATAGTATAGTAATCATACCTGTAACATTCACAGTCTTCTCAGTGGATGAGAAGCACTTATGGTCTGCTTTACATGTCAGAAAGACAAGTTGTTTCCATCGACTTGAGGTCAGCGTCACTTCACTGAGAATATGAGTGTGTTGTTACTCTGCACTGAGCTACTTTCTGTCACTTCATCACCCATCAGCCAGTCACCTTGGCTTAAACATAGTGTGGACCAAACATGTAGCTTTCACCCAAGGATCTTGCCATCATTACAGTCTTGAAGCTGGGGATCTCCACATGGATGGAGGGAGGGGCACTTGAACAAGCTGATAGGAAACAAGGAAAAAAACATTATGATGCAACACCAAAATGCTATTCAATGATACCTTTGTAAATACTTTTTTATATTCTAAGATTATACTGACACAATACTTAAACAAATGTTTTTGAAACACGTTTTGATTGGTCAAATGGTTCATAGTAGATGGTTGGAGTTTTGAGTCTCCACTTAGTTTTACCTGAGCAGACACTGATGTCCTTTCTCACAGTTTTTTCCAGAAACTTGTCAGAAACTTCACAAGTGAAGACCTTCCCTGTGCTCCACTCTGATTGAGGGATCTGAAGTTGACTGGTTACCGCCACACGTCCATCTGCATCCATGCTGATTTTATTAGTTGATGGAGAGCTTTGCTGAGACTCAGGAGACCATTTGATTTGTGGGTCGAAGCCCGATCCAGAGCACGAGAGTATCTGGGGTCCTGATTCTTCACTGGGGGCCAGGAGAAGTTCCACTGATGGCTCCACTGAAAATGAGATGTATCAATGCACCAATTAAACAATAAGTGAATATTTTAGGTTTAAAACATGGCAACTGTCATCAAGGAAGAAAGTATTACTTCTCTCACCAAAAATACTGCCAATGGAGTTTGATTCAAAGCTGTTGGAGAAGCCTTGGTTCACTTTGCAGGTGAACTTTGCATTTTCCTTCCAGTAACTTTGAGGGACAGAGAAACTTGTACTGATTGAATGGAGGCCTGGGGCTTGAGGAAGATCGACATAATGTTGGTCAGGAATGTCAACACTGTTGGTCTGAAAAGTGACGTACAGGTCATGGGATGAGAGCTTTGTGACGTCACACTTCAGCACAGCACTTTCTCCTTCCAGAAAATCCTTTAGAGATCTCCTGATGCCAACCAATGGAGCTGTAACTGCAGGCCCTGGATGATATAGAAGAAAATAAAGCAGATTCTATTGTTTTATGTATTTAGTTGTCAAAGACATCTATTATTCATATAGTATAGTAATCATACCTGTAACATTCACAGTCTTCTCAGTGGATGAGAAGCACTTATGGTCTGCTTTACATGTCAGAAAGACAAGTTGTTTCCATCGAGTTGAGTTCAGCGTCACTTCACTGAGAATATGAGTTGTGTTACTCTGCACTGAGCTACTTTCTGTCACTTCATCATCCATCAGCCAGGTCACCTTGGCTTTAAACATAGTGTGGACCAAACATGTAGCGTTCACCGTGGATCCTGCCATCATTACAGTCTTGAAGCTGGGGATCTCCACATGGATGGAGGGAGGGGCACTTGCATGGACTGCAGGAACCAAAAACACACTTGTCTATACATGTTCTCATTAACACTCCTTATTGTTGTCATTGTGCTGTGAAGTAGTAGCTGTACTTACGTTGACAAATACTTGTTGTTTTTATAAATTCCGTATTGTTTTGAACGGACTTGCATGTATAAATTGAGCCACCTGCCCACTCTGTGATATTCGGCACAATCTCGCTGCTTAAACTGAAGGTGTTCTCCACTCTTTCCACACTCTGCAACTCCTTCTGGGTACCCACATTAGTTAGATGTATGTTGTCCTGCTTCCACTCCACTGTCAGTCCGTCAGGGAAGTAGCCACTTAGGGTGCAGATGAGTCTGACTGGTGAGGCCCCAAATTCACCTTCCCACAAAGGGTGTAGTGTGATATTTGGAGGGACAATCCGCTGTACTGAGATAGAGAAAATATCCATTACTTGCCTCATTCTAAAAGTTAGATGTGGACAATTTTCAAATATAAGATGATTTAGTCTTTTATGATATACATACCTTTTTAGTCAAGTTACCAACTGCGTTTTTTCATATCTAAGTGTATTATATTCATATAAGGCTAGGTGGCAGAGTTGTACTTTTACATGGTCTGGTGTCTTACAGTCAGGTGGAGACGAGGCTTGAAGTCTGTTGCACAGATGTTGCAGAATGACAGGGCAGAGTGATCAGGGCAAGCAGCAAGCGGAAGCATTGAGTAACACCCAGGTCCCAAAAAAGTACCAAAATACAGAAGTGAAACACTGCCAAGAGCAATGGTGCATGACAGACACCAGGTGTGGAGGTGTGGTTATGCAGTAAAAGAAACGATGTGCACATTTAAATGTCTCATATCAGTTTTCACATAGATTTTACATGACTTCTCATGACTTTGATAAAGGTTTTAGTTCTCAATTCCATTAATAATAGACTTGAGAACTTACTAACTGTAAAAAATAAATTTACATTTAGACATTTACATAATGAGTTTAACATGGGCTGTTGATTCCAGGTGCTGGGTAGGTTACGAAAAAATGTCAAGAGCAACGTCAATGGTTATCTTTAATGAAATATTTATTTTTCAAAAACACACAAAGCTCTTTTAAGAAAAATGATAAAGGACAGTTGTGATAACTTACATGGTACCATGAGTTTATAAGAAAGAAATGTGAAACCCCCCCCTTTTCTTTTTTTTTTACAGAAAGTTCACCTCGTTTCATTTAACCTGAAAAGACAAAAGAAAATGGATTAGAAATAACTAATAATAACTGTATCAATAAATGGTATCAATACTTAGTGTTACAACTGGCTTATGGTATAGTATGCTGTTCTCATTTCATTCATTAAGCTTCATTAATCTATGTGAAAGATAATATTCAACACTCAATAAAATGTTAAGACAAAACTTTAAGTATGATGGTTACCATAGGGTTGACTTAACATCTCGGTAGAAAAGTCTTTAAAACTATTTACGTAAAAAGGGATTTTTTTCTATTTTAAAGTACTGTAGGATCTGTGTCCGCCCCTTAACATGCCTACATCATTGATATTGGGACTTTTGCTAAAAACTCTTTAATAATGTATTACTACCTTTTATTAAAAACATTACTATATTTACTATAAAGAAAATATAAATAATGTGAGGTTATCTTTGGCGATACTGTATTAATTCTCAAAAAGACTACACATGTTTTATTTATAGTCCAAGTTCCATTTAAGTGTTCGGGTCTCCCGTGACACGTTTCAAGTTAAAATGATATAATAACTAAGCTCTAGTATTTTTTGTTGCCCCAATCAAGATTCATATTTGACTTTAGACACCACAGAGGTTACTGTAGTTAATAATATAAAGTGTTAACAACTTTTTTGGGGGAAATTGTATTCTAATATTAGTCTATTATAGTCAGATAACGTAATGATCCACTGTCTTCACTATAGGGAATATAATGATTTAATTGAATCACATTTTTTACTTAAATATGTGGTGTAATGTGTTTTGGTGCCATACAATAAAATGACAACAGGATTATATGGTTATGAATGCATAATAAGTTAGTTATGATGTAGATAAAACAATATTGGATGATAGTCATTATTTTTGACTGTTTTGGACTTAGATAAATCATGGGTCAAAATTGACCCGTGAACACCATGAACGGTAACAGCTTTCGAACACAACACAAGGGTTAAACTTTGTTTTTATTTAATTTGTTTACCTAAAGAATCCTAGTTGTATTACTCTTAAGCAAAAGTTCATTCCTTTGCTCAGATTGCAAAAAAATACTTAGATCAACTTTAAAGCAGCTGTGAATAATGCAAATGCAAATCCCACGGTTCTGATCGCGTACAATTAGTTTTACTCAGATTTTATGCATATGGCTGGTTGTTCTTTACTATTTAAAAGTTTTTTATAAAATAAGATTACAATAAATAGTATTGCTTATGTTAATTTATGAATCATAACCCCTGTATCATGCTGCCTATCTTGTTGCCTGATTCTAGCCAATTCACAATAAGGCAGTTATGATATGATTACTATCACGTATTATTATCACGTATTCTGACATTTAATTTACAACGTCTATTCACTACATGCATCCTTTGTAACTTCTCATATTAGTGGAGTTTTCTGTCCACCCCTTAGTGTTGTTTGAAGACATCCAACTATTTACTCAGTTGTCTTTTTCTGGCTGAATTCAATCCACATCATTACCTAATCAACTCATTATTACCTTGAAAGCAGTGGTTCCAATGGCGAACAGCAGAGTGATGAGGAAGAGAAGGATGAAGGTGATGGCTGTGCTTCCCATGTTATCTTCTTCTTCGTCAATGTTCGTTTGGTTGGAGTCTGGATGTACAGAAATTATTCAGTTATTGCCTGAGACAAACCCAGCTTTAAAACAGTAGCTCATGAGATGGTTACCATATCATAATCACTTCCCTCCCCCACTCTTAATAACCTCAGGTCAGTGTGAAACTACAGTAAATCAATGTCAGTCAATCCAAGTTTAACTACAAATTTAAATAATTTAACTGTATACATTATTGTAAGTGTAAAAGGCTGGGCTAAAGGTCCCACTAAAATTGATTATGATAATTAAAGTCATCCTACAATGATCTTGACTGGCTTTTGAAAGACCCCTTTATGTATCATGACCTGGCTTGTGAATCAGTCAATTCATTATTCGACCATAGAGCTGGAGTTTGGCCGTGAATGACTATTTGTCTTATGTCGGGCTGCAAGACCCAGTAGTAGAAACACACATAGACAAAGACAAGTCACACAAACAATGGTAATACTATGTATACAAAAAACAATAAACAAATAGATTTTCTTCATTAGATTTTGTGAGGTGATGTTGTTAAATTTGATCTATTTTAATCACTGCTTAACACACGGATGGCTTAACCTAATGTGTGTTGCATTAGGAGAGCACTGTGACTCTACACTTAAAGTATCCAATCCATTTGATTTCTATAGCACATTTAAAAACAACAGAGTTGAACAAAGTGCTGTACATCAACAACTGTATAAAAATATAGCATGAATACATACAAAATAGACAGGACATGAAACAAATGTAAAACACGAGAAAATGAAACCAGATCAGAAGCCACAGACTGAAAAACTCTCCTACATGACGTAAAAACAATACAAAACACTAGTAAGATAATTATTCACTGTCTCTTCATTTAAAAAATGCGGCACAGATTGTCCTGTAGCAGATGCGGATGTACATATCATCAAACCCTCAATGGAGGACATTTTATTACACCACAAAGGAACGGTATATTGTCAAGTCAAGGTTAACAAACCATCTCTGGATAAGATTTCGTGGGAGACCGAGACTGGAAATCCAATACTTGGTGCTGACCCAATTACCAACCTTAAGGGCCATAAGGGAGTATTTGATGCTGAACTTACCATCACGTATGAAGAATGGATAAAGGGCACCAAGTTTGTCTGCAAGGTGGAACATAAAGATTAGATGACACCACTTACAAGATCCTACCAAAGGATTAATGGTAAGACTGAAAAACTCTCCTACATGACGTAAAAACAATACACAACACTAGTAAGATAATTCTTCACTGTGTCCTCATTTAAAAAAGGCTGCACAGATTGTCCTGTAGCAGATGCGGATGTACATATCATCAAACCCTCAATGGAGGACATGTTATTACACCACAAAGGAACGGTATATTGTCAAGTCAAGGTTAACAAACCATCTCTGGATGAGATTTCGTGGGAGACCAAGACTGGAAATCCAATACTTGGTGCTGACCCAATTACCAACCTTAAGGGCCGTAAGGGAGTATTTGATGCTGAACTTACCATCACATGTGTGGCATGGACAAAGGGCACCAAGTTTGTCTGCAAGGTGGAACATAAAGATTAGATGACACCACTTACAAGATCCTACCAAAGGATTAATGGTAAGACTGAAAAACTCTCCTACATGACGTAAAAACAATACACAACACTAGTAAGATAATTCTTCACTGTGTCCTCATTTAAAAAATGCGGCACAGATTGTCCTGTAGCAGATGCGGATGTACATATCATCAAACCCTCAATGGAGGACATGTTATTACACCACAAAGGAACGGTATATTGTCAAGTCAAGGTTAACAAACCATCTCTGGATGAGATTTCGTGGGAGACCAAGACTGGAAATCCAATACTTGGTGCTGACCCAATTACCAACCTTAAGGGCCGTAAGGGAGTATTTGATGCTGAACTTACCATCACATGTGTGGCATGGACAAAGGGCACCAAGTTTGTCTGCAAGGTGGAACATAAAGATTAGATGACACCACTTACAAGATCCTACCAAAGGATTAATGGTAAGACTGAAAAACTCTCCTACATGACGTAAAACAATACAAAACACTAGTAGGATAATTCTTCACTGTGTCCTCATTTAAAAAATGCGGCACAGATTGTCCTGTAGCAGATGCGGATGTACATATCATCAAACCCTCAATGGAGGACATGTTATTACACCACAAAGGAACGGTATATTGTCAAGTCAAGGTTAACAAACCATCTCTGGAAAAGATTTCGTGGGAGACCGAGACTGGAAATCCAATACTTGGTGCTGACCCAATTACCAACCTTAAGGGCCATAAGGGAGTATTTGATGCTGAACTTACCATCACGTATGAAGAATGGATAAAGGGCACCAAGTTTGTCTGCAAGGTGGAACATAAAGATTGGATGGTGCCTCTTACAAAACCCTACCAAAGGATTAATGGTAAGAATCTATGGAGCAATTGTTCAAAACATATTTTCAATTCCTCTTGTCATGCCATCAAACACGTGTTATTTTTTTGTGTATTATGTAGCAGGGATTTTCTTCTTTAGGCCTTCTATCTGTGGCCAGAGCCCTAATTGTTCTTTAATGCTTGCAGGAGGAACGACTCAGCGTCCATCAGTGTTTATGCTACCTCCCCTATTACATACTAAAAAAGAAATGGTGACCCTGACTTGCTTAGTGAAAGACTTCTACCCGAAGTATGTGTTTGTGGCTTGGCTTGTTGATGATCAGGAATCAGGCTTACAATACAACACCACAAGCCCTATAGAAAACCAGGGATTCTATTCTGCTTATGGCCAGTTAACTCTCAGCACTGAACAGTGGAACGACAATGACACTGTGTATAGCTGTGTTGTTTACCACGAGTCTATGGTCAAAACAGGAACTAAAGCCATTGTCAGATCCATTGGGCACAGAACATTTGAAAGAACCAACCTGGTCAACCTCAACATGAACATCCCCGATACGTGCAAGACTCCCTGCAATTAGATGTGATTCTGTGTCACTGTGTCTTCGGCTGTTTGTTGTTTAATGTTTGTGCTTGTTATATTACATTGTGTTTGTCGTTTTAATGCAGATTCAAAATAGCTCATGAGATGGTTACCATATCATAATCACTTCCCTCCCCCACTCTTAATAACCTCAGGTCAGTGTGAAACTACAGCAAATCAATGTCAGACAATCCAAGTTTAACTACAAATTAAAAATAATGTAACTACATTATTGTAAGTGTAAAAGGCTGGGCTAAAGGTCCCACTAAAATTGATTATGATAATTAAAGTCATCCTACAATGATCTTGAATTGCTTTTGAAAGACCCCTTTATGTATCATGACCTGGCTTGTGAATAAGTCAATTCATTATTCGACCATAGAGCTGGAGTTTGGCCGTGAATGACTATTTGTCTTATGTCGGGCTGCAAGACCCAGTAGTAGAAACACACATACACAAAGACAAGTCACACAAACAACGGTAATACTATGTATACAAAAAACAATAAACAAATAGATTTTCTTCATTAGATTTTGTGAGGTGATGTTGTTAAATTTGATCTATTTTAATTACGGATGGCTTAACCTAATGTCTGTTGCATTAGGAGAGCACTGTGACTCTACACTTAAAGTATGACAAACATGGAGATCAAACTAATATTAAATAATAAAGACATAAACAGCATGCGACATACAACAACTGAGTTGCAAAGAGCTTTTTTTTATTTTGAATCTGCATTAAAACGACAAACACAATGTGATTATAACAAGCACAAACATTAAACAACAAACAGCCGAAGACACAGTGACACAGAATCACATCTAATTGCAGGGAGTCTTGCACGTATCGGGGATGTTCATGTTGAGGTTGACCAGGTTGGTTCTTTCAAATGTTCTGTGCCCAATGGATCTGACAATGGCTTTAGTTCCTGTTTTGACCATAGACTCATGGTAAACAACACAGCTATAAACAGTGTCATTGTCGTTCCACTGTTCAGTGCTGAGAGTTAACTGGCCATAAGCAGAATAGGATCCCTCATTTTCTATAGGGCTTGTGGTGTTGTAGGGTAAGCCTGATTCCTGATCATCAACAAGCCAAGCCACAAACACATACTTCGGGTAGAAGTCTTTCACTAAGCAAGTCAGGGTCACCGTGTCTTTTTTAGTATGTTCTAGGGGAGGTAGCATAAACACTGATGGACGCTGAGTCGTTCCTCCTGCAAGCATTAGAGAACAATTAGGGCTCTGGCCACAGATAGAAAGCCTAAAGAAGAAAATCCCTGCTACATAATACACAAAAAAATAACACTCATTATGTTTGATGGCATGACAAGAGGAATTGAAAACATGTTTTGAACAATTGCTCCATAGATTCTTACCATTAATCCTTTGGTAGGGTTTTGTAAGAGGCACCATCCAATCTTTATGTTCCACCTTGCAGACAAACTTGGTGCCCTTTATCCATTCTTCATACGTGATGCTAAGTTCAGCATTAAATACTCCCTTACGGCCCTTAAGGTTGGTAATTGGGTCAGCACCAAGTATTGGATTTCCAGTCTCGGTCTCCCACGAAATCTTTTCCAGAGATGGTTTGTTAACCTTGACTTGACAATATACCGTTCCTTTGTGGTGTAATAACATGTCCTCCATTGAGGGTTCGATGATATGTACATCCGCATCTGCTACAGGACAATCTGTGCCGCCTTTTTGAGGAGACAGTGAAGAATTATTAAACAGAGATTGCTGCAAAAACATGAAAATTGAACTCTTTGTATACAATTTTGAAAGATAAAGTAGTCATTTACCGGTAGGGCCAATTGGACATGTCTTTGTGATGATCGTTCTATTCAACATACTTGGACCTTTTTCCCCTTTCCCCTCAAACAGACATGTGACTGGGATCTTCAAAGTTGGGTCACTGGAATTCATCGTGAGGAAACTTGCTGCGCTGTACAGTGAAGTTCCATTCTCGTCCTTTCTTTCCACAGAACGAGTTTTCATCTCGTGGATTTCGGTTGTGATTTCTTGATTGTTTGTCAGCCATTTGAACTTATATTCGTCAGGTGAAAAATCAGTGGCCAAGCAGGAGAGGTAAGACTCACTTTCTTCAGAGGAAATGGAGGCTAACACTTTAAGAGTTGGAACTCTATAAGCCACCACTGAAAAACAAACATATACACAAATGTGTTTGCAGAAGCAGGTAATCATATATATATGCAGAAGCAAATGTGAACAATGTGCTACAATGCTTATTTTTTATTATATTCACATATATTATATTTGAGTGTATGACTTTTTTTGTATTTCACATGGTGATTATGCTCTTCCATTTAACACTTACTGTAGCTTGTTAATAAAGACTGCAGAAAAATAAATAAAGTTAATAGTTAAAAAATAAAAGACTTGTAACAAACAGAGCTGTAATGCTTGCTTCTGCATATACATTAGATGCTCGGGCAAGCGAACACACAGTTAAAGTTAATAATCAACATCGATAAAAGGGGAAGCAGACAGACATTTGTAAAATGCAGATCGACGGAAAGAAGCAGGACATATAGCAGTTATCTGTTTTTTTAACAGGTGCAGAGGTACAGTAAATTATAAATGAAACAAATAGACCAAGTTAACAGCTGAGCTTTAGCCTTCTCGTCCCACCTCACTGTAAGATTTGGCCGTTATCCCTACTTATTATAAAACAAAAATATTTAAGGATACACTATTTCACACATATCATTTTGCAACAATGAATTCTATTTTCATGCTCTCCTGTGTTAATGTTCCTTTGAAATGACAGATGGGAGTATATCTGTCTGTTTGAACAATTAAAACCGCTATTCATTCATTTGACGAATTACAAAATCAGCAGCTCGGTATACCATTATAAAGGTTAAGGTTGAGCTCAGTCTTATTTAACAATGGACCAAAACTATAAGGCTATTACAGCTCTGTAAACATTTTCCCGTTAACTTAAAACATATTTATTCCACATTGCCTTTAATTAACAGTCACTCTTCCTTTGTTTTGAATATTTACTGACAGGTTGAATTGTTCTTATCATAAGTGTTCCTGCTATTTGCTGCCTCCTTTTTATTGTTAATTGTTCAATTGTTTATTTTCAATATACAGGATTTACACTAGTTTTAAGATGCCATATCTAATAAACTCTCTTGTTTAATAGCTTTTGTATATAACGCCTTGAAGCACAATTTTTCGTTTAAATATTTGTTAAATTTGTTATTTTTGGAATTTAAATAGTTATCTTACTTGGTGACCAACTGATCTTACATTTTATTTTATGTTATCAGTATCTTAAGTATTAGTGACTAAAGTAGCCTTGTAGCAGTGCACTATAAAGTGTAAAACTTTCTTCGACACTACACTCCCTATTCATTCTGACAATATGCACAAGTTATTATTACCACACTGCGACAATTTAATAAGAATACATGTATAAGTAGGCCTAATTATTACCACACTGCGACAATTTAATTCAATTGAATAAGAACACATAATTAACATTTATGATAAGCACACTACTACAATTTAATTTAATAAGAACAGATAATTAACATTGTTTTCCCACCATGAAAACTTATTTGCTAGATTTTTAATCAACTACTAAGACACTTACATTTGACTTAACAAAGGTCTTACCTGGTTTTACGAATTCACACTGCGCCGTTCCCGCTGCATGTGTCACGGTACATTTGAATTTCTTCTTGGCATCCCAGTCCTGTCTACTCACTTGGATTTGACTGACACCCTGATAGAGGTTGTTCTTCTGTATGGGTGGGTACTGAATGAAGTCTGTCAAGGGCAAGTCTGCCCCATATTTGCTCCATCCGTAGGTCAGAGCAGACGGTGCGAAGCCGGTGGCCAAGCAGCCGAGAGTGACTGTGTCTCCGGTCCCGGAGCCACATTGCATCAGAGGAAACACAGTTGGTTTATTGACAGTGGCAGTGGCTGAAAAAAGAAATAACATACGTGTTAATACAATTACAAATAAATTGTATACAACAGACATTTTCACCAGGCATTAGGTAAAACAGTGATAAGACAATTTAGTTGATGAATTGAATGTAACAAAGCACCGTCCTGATTGCGTTATATTTTAAATGATCCTTTCACTGACCTTTTATGTTCCCCTCTTTCGTCTAGATTTTGATTGTTGGACAATGTTTAACCTACCTCAATTAAATAACTTTTTGAGTTAAATGGATGAACGTTTAAAGTCACTAACCATCCATTTCTTAATCTCAAATGTAGCGGTAATAAGAAATGATTCTTACCTGATGAAACAGTTACCGTTGTACCCTTTCCCCAGTAATCAAAAGCTGCGTAGTAGCACAGTGCTGAATCTACTTAGCTGTTAGTATTATAAGGCTACATCTAATGGCGAGCGGAAAGGTTTGTCTTCATTTTTTATTAATCACACTATATTATTAAATCCGCTTGCGTTAATCCAAGCTAGTTACCGCAAATATCCACCATTGTGTCCTACTGAGAATATCACTGACTGTGTATTCAAAGCTTTATTTTTTAAGTTAGACTTCACATGCTAAAAAATAACTTTACATGATATTGTGCAGTCTGAAAAACACCTTGTTGTAGACTTTAAATGGTAAAATTCTTACCTGAGGACACTGTTACCATAGTGCCTTTTCCCCAGTAGTCGAAAGCCCAGTTGTCACAGTTATGAAAGTCAACTGACACTTCTCACAAAAACTCATTACTTTAATGTCCCTTACTTAATGTCACACAATTTAGTTACGGCAGTTACAATCAAGCTCAAATATACACCTGTTGCTAGACTTGCTTTACAACTGAACAAAATCATGTAAAGTTTTTCTCAGATTCTCTATCAGGCTGCAAAGGACTTTTGGCTGTTTTAAAACTGACCAATAGTTGTGACTACATGAAAATGACAATATGTATTTTAGTTAGATGATTAGGCATTTCATTCTCTAATTGGAAATATTAAAATGACATACCTGAGCTGACGGTGACCATTGTGCCTTTTCCCCAGTAGTCAAAAGCATAGTCACAGTTCAACAAGTTATCAACCTCTGCATACAAAAACCTGTTCCCTGACAATCTACCCTCTGAAAACGTTTACCTGGGCTTTTTCAAACAAGGACACTTTTCAACATTTTGAATTGAGTGTATTGATTTTAACAGATTTGGCTCACAGTATCCCAGAATTGAATGAATTGCATGGTGTCAGAAATTCCTTTTTTTTTTTAACTACCAATTTATTTACGTTGAGATTTAAATATATTAGAGAAAGAAAAATAAGAGTGCCTTACCTGATGTGACTGTAACCATTGTGCCTTTACCCCAGTAGTCAAAAGCACCGTAGCACAGTGTAATGTGTCAACACATCTAACGTACAAAAATGAGCACCTTAAAGATGCATTTGGTGCTCCCAAATCTAAATATGATATATTCAATAGAGTAATTATTACATTTTCAATATAAAGACCATAAAAGCTTTTGTTACCTGTTGTGACGGTCACCATTGTTCCTTTTCCCCAGTAGTCAAAGTAGTAGTCACAGTGATATGTTTCAATAGATCTTAGTACAACAATATTTTATAGCTAATATTATCTAATAAATGACGGTACCTATTCAGTAAATTACTTTATACCTAACATTCACCGTGATATTGTTTTTGCTACAGATTAATGTTATTTATGAGCAGAGTTAGAATATAGAAAAATGCAACAATAAACCTAAAAGAAGTTGAATTGTCTTCACTTGATATATATTTAATTATTACTCACCAGAAGTCACTGCGACTTGTGTTCCTTTCCCCCAGTAGTCAAAGTATTCGTCACAGTGATATATTACAATTGGCTTCTAATACAAATACTTCAAATTATATTAAACCAAGAAAAGCATTCATGTTGGTCTCACTGCTGAAGCAATGCCCACTGTACAATTTATTAACCACTTCCCTTGAGATATGCATTTCCTGTGGTCTGGGTTATATAACATTATTTGTGTTTTGCCAACGGTTAGTGAACACTTCCTCTTTATCAGACCCTCCAGCTCCTGAAGCAATGGCTATGGAGCTTGTCCACATTTTCTCAATTGAAGTTTAAAAATGTGTATTCTTTGTAACCTGATCTATTATAAACACAGACTTACTGTCCGTCTTAAAGATATCTTGTGTTTTAGTCCAATAACTAGCTTACAAGCCTTGTGTACATGTTAGTGTTTAACATTTTACACATGTAAGGATTGCATTTCTAACCTTCCATGCAGCTAGTGTTTATTTTCACTGAAACATTGAACATTATTATCAGGTTTAATTTTATCAAAGCAAAATAAAGGTGTTTAATTTTAAGTCCATACTTCAAATGTTGATAGCGTACTGGCTGGAAGGTGAATAATTAGATTCACACTTAATGTAAACGGTTACAGCTAAACTGAGAAATGTATGATGTCATTTGAGAAAATGCATTTAGGTGGTTAAAAGCAGGTTCCAACATTGTGTTCACAGGATGCTTGGTGTACTATTAAAAGTTATTTTATTCAATCTCATAATATAATTCCAATGGTGGTGTTTACTTCATGGTTACACTTTAATACGAAATGCATGTTTACTTATGTAATGTGTTGTTCAATCTGAACCAATAATCTAGAGGTAAATAGTCGTTCCTCCACTTTTCAATTCCGTTTTTCCAAAGTTGCAGTTGTATGACGACAGATACAGAAAAGTTGTAGTGTATGTATCTGTACTGACACACAGTTGGGTCTTTATGAGAGTTTGACACGTTTAAACCTTAAAACCTCTTCTACACCGCACACCCGATACCGGGGGGAAAAACGCGTCATCTTCAGGAAACAGCGTCTGAGGGCATCTTAATATTCAATAAACTATGAATGTTTTATATCCATGTAATGGGAAGAAACTCAGCTAACTGATCTTTTTTTTTCTTTTTAAAAAAAAAAACCCACAAAGCTAGCGCCAAGCCTCTGAATTAGCTACGAGCGAAACAATCTTAAGGCCGTTAGCACAGAACTCTAGCTACACTGATCGATATACTTATTGTATCTGTACAAACAAGCTTAGATAACATCCTGAGAGTCCACAGATTATAGAAGTATAAGGATCATCACTGAGCGATCATAACTCGTGACAGGGGAAACAAATACAGACAACACACGAGTAGCTTTAGGTAGCAAAACACGGAGATATGCTCACCTTAGCTGTTATTCTGATCAAAAGTCGTGTTCAATAGCATTGCAACGAGAAAAAACGCGGCTGGAGGTTAACCCATAGGTTATAGCAATGTGTCTGTCACTTTGAAAAAAGTATTGATAATCCATAAATCAATTTTTATGCAAAAATCGGAGAAGAAAAATTAGCTGCTAATGGTAGCCACCAGAGGTTAGCGCAGCTTCCGGGTTTTCTACGCATCTCTCTCACTCCTTATTTAGTAAGCTGTGTGTGTATGTGGGAGTTCCCCTCGATTCCATTGGCTCTGACGGTTAGAAAGAGATGTCAATCAGCAAAATCGACCAAGGGGGGCCAGAGATATGGAAAATCCACCCAAATGACCCCAGAAGTGTTTTTTTTTTGCTAAACCTCTCTAAAAAGGTCAAATGTCATTTATTTTGCATCAATCTTGATACAGGGTACTTATATGTTGTACTTTGGATTCCCAAAGCTTTTAGTCTACCTTACCATAATCCAAGGGTAGTTTTCACTATCAGTAACAAATATTTTTTGGACGGACACTATAATTTACATTTTTTTACTATGTTCAATCAGAATTTTCTTTAAAATAAAAAACATCTATATTGATTCGGACTTTTCTAAATCCAACTCACAGGTTTATCATTACTTTGAGAAAAAAGATTATTAATTTAACCCTTTTAGAAGGGAAGATATAGTCATTTGTTCTGGGAATGTCATTTTCGAGCCTGAGACCTGAAAAACAGGCTCAGTGCTTAACATTAAAGCACTAAATACCTAATCTTTGATCATTAACATAGCCACACCCATCCAAGCTGCATTAACATGAAAAGCGGCAAAACGTCTCTGCGCGGACGTTGCCATTTTGTTTCTATGGGAAATGTGGTGCTCGACATTGTCACATTCAAATTATTTCAACTTTGACTGTGTTCACTGACCTTTTTATGTGCAACCAATCAGATTACAGCTGTGCTAAGCGGTGCAAACTAGGGGAGGTAACTGTAGAAATTAAATGTGAATGCAGCTTTACGCAAAAGGCAATGAGTAGTTCTATAGTGCACAAGTAGCCAATTTAAACAAGTATTGTAGAACTTATCAAAACAAATCACAGAGCCTCAAGAGAGTTAAGCTTAGTTTTTGAAAACTTAACATTAGACCACACTTTGTCCCAGACCTATGCAGGAACTTGTGAGGTGGGTTGCAGATCTTTGATTTAGTGTTTGTTCTAAGCCACAGTGGCGGTGTGGTCCTATGGATGGCAATAATGGTCTGCTGTTCCGTTGGTCCACCACTTTTTCTCCTGACAACTTGTCAGTCATTGAATGGATTTTTGACCTGACATCCACGGTCCCAAGACTATCAATCCTACTTAATGTTGTGTTCCCCCGACCTTTCTTCTATAGTCTAGCTTCGACAGGAGTCGAATCACGTGCTCCTGCGCGTTGTCTGCGTTCAATTAACCCCTTGACTGCCTCACAGTTTTCAGATGCTTTTAATACTTATCCGATTTGTAAATTAGAGGTGAACTGTGCTGTTAGTGCGGATGAGCTTATCTCTTTGTTTGATTCGACATGCACACTAATACTGGATTCCGTTGCTCCTTTTACGCTTAGACGCAACAAAGTTCTCTCAGAGCCGTGGCTCAATGATTGTACTTGCGCATTTAGACGCGCTTGTAGGCGTGCAGAGAGAAAATGGAAAAAGGATAAACTTCACGTCTCCTTAGAAATTCTTCGTGCTTGCCTTTCCGATTATCAGACGGCAGTCAAAGCAGCCAAAACAGAGTATATTTCTCTGTTAATCTCCAAAAATAGCCATATACCTCAAGTTCTTTTTAATGTCCTCAATTCGATCATTAATCCTTGTGATGCTTCTCCAATTGTGCCATCAACTACTCTCTGCGATACATTTCTTAAATTTGTTATCAAAAAAGTATCTGCTCTTAGGCTAGCCTATACTAGTGCTACCCCAGATCCTGCTCCCTTTCTGTGCCCTGCTGTCCTCGACCATTTTGAGCCTGTATCCCTCTCTTCTCTCTCGGAAGTAGTCAAGCACCTGCGGCCGACAAACTGCACCTTAGACAGCATTCCCTCTCGCTTCCTCGAGATGTTTTTGAATCAGTTGGAGCAAGTGTTTTATTGCTTGTAAACACTTCTCTTAGCTCAGGATGTGTCCCAGCTGCCTTCAAAAATGCCGTGGTTAAGCCACTACTTAAAAAGAAAAATCTCGATCCCTCCATTCTCGCAAATTTCAGGCCCATCTCCCAGCTACCCTTTTTATCTAAAGCCCTGGAGCGAGTAGTCTACGCCCAGTTGCAGTCATTTTTAACCACGCTTGGTATCCATGAAAAATGTCAGTCTGGCTTTAAACCTATGCATAGTACTGAAACAGCCCTTTTAAGAGTTTTTAATGATCTGCTCTTAGCCGCCGATTCAGGCAGCCCAGCTGTTTTGTTGCTGTTAGATTTAACTGCTGCCTTTGACACTGTGGATCATAGTATCCTGTTGTCACGGCTTGAACAGTCCGCAAGCATTACAGGCTCTGCTCTTGCATGGTTCAGGTCTTATTTGACAGACCGTAGCTTCTCAGTGCAGTTAGGTGTCTTCTCCTCTGCCAAAGCCCCTCTTACCTGTGGGGTTCCCCAAGGCTCGATTCTGGGCCCCATCCTTTTTCTATTGTACATACTGCCCCTAGGTTCAATTCTTACAAAACATAATATCCCCTTCCATTGTTACGCTGATGATGTACAGATCTATCTGCCTCTCAATCAAAATGCCAACTCACTTCAGCAGTTGAAGGACTGCTTAACAGAGATTCAATCCTGGTTGAGCCAAAACGTCCTCACCCTTAATGAGAGTAAGACCGAGGTCATCTTTTTTGGACCCCAACCAACAGTCTCCCCGGTTGATATTCTGGGCTCCCTCAATAAAAATATCTTCCCCTCTGTTATGAACCTTGGAGTGACCTTCAACAGCGCCTTTAAATTTGATAAGCAGGTT